CGCGTGGTGAAGTATTGGCAGATGCTGGCGTGTTGCAGCGGGTCCAAATGGGTTTCGACGAAGACATGAAGTTCACAATCTCTTGCCCAGTACCATTCAATGACTTGTTTGCCAAAGGTGGTGCAGTTGGCGAAGTGCTTCATTGCCTCGTCATTGGGTCTGGCCCGCTTGGTGGGCGAGGGATGTAGAGGTGGATCGTAATCAGGACTCTCCGGCGCCTGCAAGGTACGGGCTATGTTGTGTGGCGTTCTGAAGTGGGATGCCTGGATAGCCCTTAAGTTGAATGATGTCACTGGTCATGTGGGGCTTCAAATCTGGGATCGCGCGGCTGTCCATCGTCTGCTAGCCAAAGCAAGTCACGATACATCAGGATGGTATAGTAGTGGCTGGAGAGGTGGTTATGGCCTTTGTGGCAGATGAGTGCCACTGGGATGTACTCCTTTTGTTTCCTTGAGAAGCCATCCAACGAGACTGGCACGGTAAAGCTTCCGTGAGGATTGAGCGCGCGGTGGTGTTTGGTGATCTGCCCGCCTGGTCTAATCTCTGCATAGCGGTAGGTGAAGGCCCTCGATTGGGTTTCAAGCCGCAAAGTGTTCACGAAGTGACTTGCATCACCTTGCGCATTGAGGTCGTGCTGCCGCCATAGGGACAGAAGGCCTGGTAGACGTTGAATGTCGAGCGCCTCAGCTGTTTCCAAGCTTTCTTGGACTGCATCTCGGATCGTGCCCCAGGGCTGCAGATTGTGTTCCTGCAGGAAGGCGCGCAACCAGGTGAATGCACGCCATGGTGCATTGGCAAAGCACCTTTGGCAGGGATTTCCAACCACCATGGTCAGATTTTGCATCAAAAGGTCAGTTGTGGTGCATAGTCATAGAGAACGTGCTGATTCATCGTCTCTGTGTTCAATCGGGTCGGCTCAAGGTCCAGTTGGTTGGAGGTTCCTCCAATCACGGCCAGTCGCGGTCGGCTACCATGTGCCCCTGGAGCCGGCTGGTGATGGCCAAGAACAAAAATGGAAAAGTTGTCCTGTGAACAAGTAGGTGTGGCATCTAATTGCAGTTCCCTTGCAGTTGAATGCTCTCCCCTCAAGATGAGTAGGATTGGCTGTGGGTTGCATGTCCCCTGCAACACCTTGTAGCTGAGAAAATGGCTGTAGCTGTGAGCCTTCAAGGATAAACACATCCGAAGCTCTGAAGAAATCCCCTGCATGATCGTTGTCATGTTCCCAATCAAAATCGTCCGGAGTGACTGGAATGCAAAGCTCGTTGAGAGAGGCTGACTTCATTGAGGGGTTACCCGCACGATCCAGGTGGTGATGCAAGGTTGTTGCCCTCAGTTTCCCTGCGCTTTGAGAGGTCGTCAATGCCGCTGCTGGGCCTTTTCAACAGTCCATGTAGCTGAGACTTTTGTTCAGCTGAAAGAGAAACTCCCAAAGTGGCTACGAAGTTTTCAAGCGCTGCTGGCAGCGGGTCGTCCATGTTGGTTTCCAACTCCTCGGGCTTGGGGTCCTTGTTGACTGCCTGCATGTACTCTTCTGAAAGCTGCTTCAAGGTCTTTTGCCCGTCGTTGAGCTTTTGCTGGAGCTCCTGCATTTCTGACAGGAGTGATTGGTATTGGGCCTTCGTGAGGTCCAACTTCTCCTGCAGCTGGGTCTTCTTGATGGAGAGGTTCTTGAGGTCTGATACCTGGCCTTTGAGCTTCGTGGCAATGTCCGTTTCAGAAGCTGGCTCTGGTGTAGTGAGGCGAGTGACGGCCTCTTGCACCTGAGTGGGTAGAGCTGCCATGTGCGTTTTGAGCATTTCTGCCAAGTCAGGTTCGGGTTGTTTGGCAGGTCTAATGCCCAGTTGCCGTAGTTGTCTTGGAGGTCGGTAGACATGCCGCCCCAGACCGTCTCCAGCAATTCGGAGGCTTTGAGGCGCCCCAGACCAGGAGGTGTTTCGATCAGGTGGTTTGGTGGGCCATGAATCGGTCTTGTTGGTGTGGGTCTTCCCTGCCCTTTGCCCTTTCCGATGCCAGCTCGCGTGGATGGCCACCATGTCCCGCACTTGCGGCGCCGAGTGTCTGGCCGGAGCTTGTCACTCCAGATCCAGTTCGTGCACTGCTGGCACACCACATAGTTCCTGCACCATGATGAAGTTCTCGTGGCCGTCATCGTACTGGATGAGAGGAGCCTCAGTGGTCTCCAAGGTGCACAGGTTGAGGGCACAGTTCAGGGCACGGTCCACGATCTGGCCAAAGTAACCAGGAGGGAAGTAGCCCCAGTAGTGGTCAAGAGATCCCGCAAGTTGAGGCACTGTTCACAAAGTCGAGGGGAATCTGATCACCTCTTCTGTGGCAGTCTCTATCACGGGAATAGACCAGGGCAATCGAGGAGCTCAAAGAAGTTGATATGTTCGTAGCGAGTTGGGGATCCACACTAGGGCGGTTTCTGGGGACGCCCTTGAGCACTCGTGTCTTGAGCCATGTAATGTAGTCCCTTGATTTATAAACTCCCCCCCTCAACAACCAAGGCCTCCAAAATAGTGTATAAGAAAATTAATCAACTGATAATTAAATAAGGAATCCTTAGCTAGCTACCTCTGGAGCTACTCTGGCAATACTAAAATGAAAGGAGTCAAGAAACCTAACTTTGAAGACATCTCGAATATTTATTACAATAAAAGGGAATGAATCAATGCAAATAGAACTAACTTTTTAAATTTCAATTGAAATCTGAATCCAAAGACCTGCAATTTCAATGGTAAGTAAAGCAAATCAAAAGGCAAAGAAACGTTTATAAAGATTTAACGCCTCAAATCTCTAGACATTATTCTAGGCCCCCCCCCTAAATAATGTCAGAAAGCTGTTTGCTGGACTACCCCCTTAGCTTGAATGATTTTTTGTTTTTCAATACTTTTGAATAAGGGATGTTATAAAGAAAGTGCGCACTGACTTTTGGAAACTTTTGGAAAGCTTCAAAACTAAAGAGCTTAGGAAAAGTAAATAAGGAATAGAGGGTGAGTAAAGCAAATCAAAAGGCAAAGAAAAGGAATAAAGATTTAACGCCTCAAATCTCTAGACATTATTCTAGGGCCCCCCTAAATAATGTCAGAAAGCTGCTTGCTAGATTACCCCCTTTGCTTGAATGATTTTTTGTTTTTCAATACTTTTGAATAAGGGATTGTATAAAGAAAGTGCGCACTGACTTTTGGAAACTTTTGGAAAGCTTCAAAACTAAAGAGCTTAGGAAAAGCAAATAAGGCATAGAGGGTGAGTAAAGCAAATCAAAAGGAAAAAGTAAACTATAACAATAAACCATATCCCACTACAACTACTCCTCCCCAAAAAACAGACATTATTCTGGGGGCCTTTATAAATCTGTGCAGGAAAAAAGTGTCATTATTCTGTGGGCCTTTTTAAATCAAGGGACTACATTATGTATGTATGTATGTATCTATCTATATATATATATATGTGTATGTGTACAATCGCATGTTTTTCGCAAATTTCGCGCCTTTGCAAAGTGCGTTCAATAGGTCTCACATCAGCGCTCTCCCATATGTGTCGCGTATATGAAAACCCGGCGTCTTCATGCCGGTTATCCTACTGACACTCTGTTTTTGTGACAAAACTGTGCGATGTACAAATATCACAAGGGGTATAGTTTTGAGGTGCTCCTTCTACGGAGGCAGCACTATTTTTGTCTGTTCCTTTTGTATGTTCCTCAAGGATTCAGCATGCAAACGTTTGACATTGGTTGACCAAGTACAATATAATAGTATACCGTATCCAGTGTAGTACGCACCTCTTTGAAAACTGTTCAATCAATGAATGTTGCTGCCTGGGGGGTACTGGATGCAGCACTGTGACTTGATTCCCTGCGTGTGGAACCAATTTGTTCACTAAGGTTTGGGAGTTTTCTAGTCACATTGACTGCAAATTCGACTTAATTACAACAACTCGTGCTTAACACTCGTGCTTAAAACTCGAGCTTGTCAAGGAAGGCAGTTTCATGAGCCAAGGTCGTAGTCGAAGTCCTCGCCGAAACCGAGATGTCGATTACTCAATGTCGTTTTTGCTTGAAGGGGATTGGTGGACGCAGAAGTCTGATGGTGACAAGTAACAGCTTCAAGCTAAGGATGATTTGGCAATGGATGGGCTACTGGAGGACTTGCCTCGGCTTCAAACTTCTCTGACTTTATCGGTCGACAGTGGCTTTGCAGGACACAAAGAAAAAGAAAAACAAGACCTTGGCTCAGAAAGGTGTTTGACTCTTTACAACACCTTTGACGTGGATAAGATACAGAAGAATCCAAGAAGACCCTAAAACTCATTATTTACATTAGCCACTCTAGTCACAGATAAGGTAATACCATGCACCATGCAAGTTCCAGCTGGATGCAGGACAGGAGTCCGGAGCTTCCGGGGCTAAGATGCATGGTACAGTGGTTGTCTTAGGATTAACCTTGGTGTATTGTATCAAGTTGTTGAGCGTTACTTCCTTTGACAACTCAAACCTGTTTTGTTGCAGTAAATACGAAGGAACTAGGGCTGTCTGTTAATCCTCAGGGTTTTCTTGTTTGACCTTTTTGCAGCCGCTCCCAAGCCTTTGGTTTGAAGCTTTATTTCAAGCACAGGAGAAATTGCCCAGGCCTGAGAAATCTCACAGGCCGCAGTCAGAGCTTTGCCGGATTATTTTCTCATCAAACCTTTGTTTGAAACATCACCTGGCAAAAAGCAAGGCTTGGACCTGGTGTCATGCGAAGTCTCCCATCCAAGCAGGAAAAAGATCACTTTTCTTTTGTCACACACACACGCACACACACACATTCTCTCTCTATCTATATATGTATATATACATACATATATTTGAGGCTACAGCTTTGCCTCATGGGCGGAAGTCTAAATCATTTGCAGCCCTTTGGCTCCAAACGCGTCTTGCACATCCTTGAATGCAAGGTCCACTGCATTGGCCAGAGAAACAACTATTCGAAACAGTTCTGGACATACTTGATCTGCATCAGGGGGTCATATTGAGTGTCTAGCATCCAATCACGTATTTGCGATGGCTTTTGGTGTGGAACTTGTCTCTCAGATTATTGACAAAAAGGGAGTCTTTGAGCAATGAGGCCCGACCAAAGAGTCATGCTAGCTGCCCGCGCCTTGTTCTTTGCTGCGATGATGCAACCTGCGAACGGGCAGATTTGAGTCAGGAACTCACGGGCAAGCGCTTGCCTGCGGATGGACGGAATTCGAAGGAAGCCGCTGAAGTTGCCTTCAATATGCTCAAAACTTTGTTGGCAATAAATCTGCAGGATGCCGCCGCCAATGACAAGTTTGCTGCAATGAGTAGAGACTTGTGCCATCGAACATATTTTTCTAGATTTGCTGGACATAGAAGATTTGATTGTTCACCGTTATGTATAACTTGATATAACTTGCCTCCTAGTCCAGGTGCAGGCTATCAAACACAAACAAGCCATGCACGTGCCAAAGCTGCCGTCGTGCTTTCTTTGCAGGTACTTGGCTGAGCATAAAGCTCGAGAAGAGATCAAGATCAGAAATGACTCGATTAGACAAAAGAAGGCGCGCGTTTCTGCACAAGAGAGACGTTTTTCTATGTTTTGCTGGTTTGTTTTATCATGTTTATCCAGTCAAAGAGCCTTGGAGTGTCAGCGAAAGAAACACAATATGATCCTCCTTTGTACTGCCTAAATTAAATCCTGGGGGTCTACTGCGCTTTTTGAACTTGCGAAATGGACATTTTTGGATGTGGGTTGGGGGACAGGAGAAAACTGTCACTGTTAAGCAGTTGTTTCTCCATGTTCCTGGGGGTCGGGGGTCAGGAATAACATCCTGGGTGAATACATGACCCCAAACCATTCTTGGTTATTTTGAAGTGACCATCATCACCTTTTTCTTCCCTTTAGTATTTATCTAATATTTGAGATGTCTGAAACGATTGAGAACATTTGGGACTAAGGACTGACTAATAATAATCAGAAGAAGGAGAGGGAAACACGAATCAGCGCACTACGACCATGTGCTCTCACCAGTTGTTTGCCTCCCAGGATTTTGCAAATGTGAGCGTGGCATGTTTTTGGTAGGCATGTGATGACCTTTTTATCTTCCAGAGCGGAGGGCTCGAGATCTGAGCTGAAAGGACGCGAGCCCGCGGCGGCGGGCGGTGGGCCGGGGTTTTCTCCATTGCTGGAGACCGCTTTCATACGCTCCTTGCGCTGGTGGCCACGCCTGAGGAGATTCCAACGTGGAATGGGGCCGGACCCTAGTGGGTTCGAAAGCTTCGCCACCTCGTGCAGGTGGTATGAAGCGAGTCTCAAAGACTCGGAGCGGAAGCTCGCGGCGCCACGGATCTGGCAGAAGCTGGAGGGCGCGGCGAAGTCGGTGGTCAAGCACCTCGAGCCGAAGGACTTCGCCACCGAGACCGGGATGAACAAGCTCTTGGGCGTGCTTCGAGAAAGCCCTCTTCAAAAGCTCCCCATCCCGGACAGCTTCAGCAGACTAGAGAAGTGGACTGGGCCGCAATGGGGGTGAATCCATCCCACAGCTCCTGGTCCGAGAAGAAGAGCCTTTCGTGGAGCTTCAACAAGCTTTGCAGAGGGCAAGGGCTGAGCGTTTGAAGCGTGAGGTGAGATCGATGGGAGTGGGAGCTCAGAACATGACCCTCCGACATCTCCTACGAGATCACCCAATGTGACGCTTGGCCGACAAGCTGAAAGAGAAGAAGAACCGGACTTCAGAGCTGCGGTGGCCCCCCCAGAGACAATGCCGGGTTCTTTGAGAACGAGTTGCGGCCGACGAGGTCAACTTGTGGGATGAGGAGGCCTACTGGGCAGATTGGTCACCGTCTTCTACCTGGGCCTATGAGGATGACGGCGACTACATTGGTGGTGGCGATGATGGACTACCTGGAGGTGATGACTATGAGGCGACGGCTGAAGAACTGGAGGCTGAGAAGAGGCCTGAAGAGGCACACACCTTAGCCACTGAGGCCAATCGGACCCTGACCGAAGCCAAACAGGCAGTGGCCCGTGTGAGAGCCGCTCCTGGTTACTACAGCCCTGCGGGCATGAAGGGCAACGCTGGAGCTATGTCCAAAGGGAAGAAGGCCGCCCCAAGGTAAGGGCAAGGGCACTGGAGGCTTGGGGCCATGCTTCATCTGTGGGCAGCCAGGCCATGGCTACTTGACAGGTGGTCTTGTGGAAATGGGGGCAAGGTCCGGAAGGGCAAGACCCACTTCACGGACTATGACCCCGAGTACTGGTACCCAGAGGTGAACGTCCTTTCCATGGCCGACGACCACACGATTGAGGACTTGGAGGTTTCGAAGGTCATCGTGGACACCGGCGCAACTGAATCTGTGGCTGGAGTCCGCGCTATGGCAAGAGTGCTTGATGCGCACCAGATGCCCTATGACATCGACCTCTTCGATCGTCCACGATTCCGGTTCGGGAACGGAGAACACCAGCGAGCCATCTCCAAGATCAGCCTCTCAACGTTCTCCTTCGGCAAGTTGAGCTTCTACTTGCTGGATGGAAAAGCTGAGAACACGCCGTTGCTTCTTTGTTCAAGGGACATGAGAAAAAGGAAGGCAGTGATCTCCTACCACGCACAGCACCTTGTGCACACGAGTCCACTGACAGGACAATGGTGGTGGCGGACACCTGATCATGGACCTGAAGGAGCACCGGATTCCATTGAGGATGCTGTTGATGCGCTTCAACAACAATCCAGGCACCCGATGGCCACCAGAAGATGATGAACAAGATGATGACAGTGGTGGTGATGACCAGAGCGGGCCTGGCCAGAGAAAGAGGAATCGACCAACGCCTGCTCCCAGCCCTCCGGTTGACCGACGGCTGGGCTGCTGGCGGCTACGACTGGGGCTCCTGACGGGTTTAGGGGTGCGACAAGTGCGCATGATGGAGCCGACGCCCTTGAGATGGATGAGAACCTTTCTCCATCGGCAGTGCAATCCCCTTCAGTGGAGGTTGAAGAACTGCCTATGACCATGGCACCCACTGCAACAGCTGCAGTCTTGGATGCATCAATTCTTGCTGGAGCTGCGGCCGAGCCTGAAACAGAGCATCCGCTGGAGAGATCTCGTCCGCGTGAACTGTTGGAGAATGAGTTGAGACTTGGTGATGACACTCGAAGGACGGAGGACGCAGAAGTTGACATGACTTCAGTTGCTCGGGAACGTCCAGTTGTTCATTTTCTTCATGACAGTCAAGAGATTCAAGAACATGACGAGTGTGAGTCATCTGGTCCACATGTTGAAGGTCCTGTGAGAGAGGAATCAGTGCTGATGGTTCACGGAGGACATGATTCATCTGACCTTGACGAGCGCCTTAGCACTCTGGCTAAACGACTCCGTGATCTACGGACACGTTCCTCTGCACCACCCGCAGATGAAAGCCAAGGTATGCCCTCCTTCATGTCGGGTGGCCCTGCATGGGACAACATCACCCTGGAAAAGAGAGGGCGAACAAGTTTGCCGCCTGGCAGGCTTGCAGTCGGACTCCGGTACATCACCAAGGGCACTGGACACGGCGAGACGAGAGCCACTGGGCCAACTCCGGAGATGGTGAGCGAGGCGCAGGGGGAACTCCGAGAACAACAGTTCACAGCCATGGAAGTGAACGAGAAGATCTTCAACGGGAAGCTGATGGAGCTGCGCGGGGGAACCTTGGTGGAGTCCGGTGGCTATGGCCGGACAACAGTCCAAGTGAGGGCAGACGAGAAGTTGGGAGAGGCCCTGATGAGCAACTCGGCATGTGGGCCGGCCAGGACTCCGAAGAAGTCTCCGAGGAAAACGACAAGTCCTACGCCGAGATCACCATCACCGATTCGCCCAACATCCAAGGGACAGGCATCCACCGAGACCGACGAGAAGAAGACCGACAAGGGGACGAGATCGTCCGGAGTGATGCCAAGGGTCCTGGACTTGGAGGAGACGGTGCCGGAGATCAAGGAGGAGAAGGCGCAGGCCGAGTGAGAGGGCACCTGGATGCACTGTGGAGTGCGCTGGATGGGTTGCGATCACGGATGCAACCGACCTCATCGCAAGATGAGGAATGCCAACCACGGGTGGAGGCTGAGGTCAGGCATCAATCCTTCTACAACATCAATGAGCCCAACACGACAACTTTCAACTGAGCAGGATGAGTCTCATCCGATCAACAGCACTAGCAATGACGTCAGCGCTACGACACTTGATGGTAAGGAACTGAATCTGCGTGTCTGTGCTACATGCTCGACTCGCCCGATTACAAGATCAGGCGATGGCGGCGGCGGCGCATCCTATGTGACTGAGGAGATTGCCACCATGGTCAACATGCGCGAGAAGCAGGTGCGACCGTCTCTGGCGAGACGAGTGGCGATGGCAGCCGCAATGGCTGTCACCCTGATGGAGCCTGTGCGCCGAACCCCAACTGAGCCAGGTCTTTATCGACAAGGGCTACTCCACGCTGCGGATCCACTACTTGAACGGCTATGACCTGGACTCACGGAAGGGAACCGTGAAACTGCAGGAGACCATCCAGGAGAAACCTCCGAAGCTGGCATGGGTTTCATTTCGCTGCGCGCGATTGTCCTCATTGCAGAACTTGACTCCCCGGACACCGGAACAGATGGACAAGTTTCTCAAGGCGAGGACGTGACCTGAATCGCTGCGAGGAGATTGCGACGGGGCTGGACTATGTTCTGGAGGCTGGTGGTGATGTGGCATGGGAATGGCCTTCTGGCGCTGTCTCAGGCTGGCGTTCAAGAGCAATCAGGAAGCTGGTGAAGCTGATTTGCAAACATGGAAGAACACATATTGGGTGAAGATAGATGGATGCCAGTATGGACTGGAGTGGAAGGGACTGCCTTTGAAGAAGAGCTGGACTATCCTCACCTTGAATCGCAACCTATGGCTGACCTGGAACAAACGTTGTGATCGAACGCGTGAACACGCTGAATGTCGAGGTCCGGCGGCAGAGGAATCTTCCTACTACTCCAAGATGTGAAAGTCGATGCAAAGTTGCGTCCTGGTGGTGTTTAGCAGATGGACTTTTTCTCAGAAGATGACTTTTCCATGCACATAGTGCACACCAGAAATCCAATAAAGCCGCCACTAGGTTGCAAACTGGTTGTCGCAAAGCGAGCGCTGTTGGTGTTCTTACTTCAAGTAGAGGAAGTGGTACCTGTGTGTGTGTGTGTGTCAACCCCTGTACCAAAGGGCTCAATGCCACTGTTTCCATTACCACCACTTAACAAGGCAGGGGGCCCATGGGCACATGGATGGCATGGGCCAACGAAGACTCATCCATGTTGCCGTGAAAACGTACCTGCTGGAAAACTTTTGAGCAAGCTGTTCCAATCCGTCTTATTTGATTCATGGTGGTTACATGTCTTCATCCCATAAACCTTTCCTTTGCCGCCGTCAGCTGCCGCGCGTTCGCGAACTGCAGATGTGCGCCAAACCATTGTTGAAACATCTTCAAAGGCTCCGACCTTTTCACCTTTCGGTTCCATCACCATTTTCCCTGGAAATTGAGTTGACTGAAAACCAATGTCAGAGT